ATACACATGCTATCAAATTCTCATTTGCTTGTATTATGACATTATACTAACCACAAAACTCGAGATAACATTTATTTTATATTCACATGTTATCCCTTAACTACAAGCGTTAAACCACCCCATTACAATTGTAATGTCTCTTTGTAATTATTATAATCTATTGAAGTTCATAACCGTTTTAAGTAAATTATCATCCCTCTTTTCTTTATATTTAAATATTTAATTTCATTGATATTTATCAATATTAGGTACAGTGAGTGATTTTTCGAGTTTATGTATAATATAGTCATATAGATTATAATATGATTGTAAATAATCATTGACTATTCTTTTATACTAAATATATAGGCTATATCTCTACATTGTTTTTCTTATATTTGATTTATTCTTGTATAGTGTTAAACCATTCACTATAAGCTTGTTATTGTATTTATTATAACTAATTATTACTTGTATGCAGTTGTTATTAAAATTACTTATGTATTTGAAATTGGACAATATTTTCCGTAAAACATATAAATAAATTTTCAAGATTCATCGTTAAGATCAGGATATGTAAAAACTAGTTGGATTAATATTTGTTTATGACATTTTTAGTTAACCGTCTGGTTTGAAAAACATTATGGATATTCGGTATAAAGTGCAGACTATATACCGTTTAATTTAATTTAATTCAAATTGTAGAGGATAAAATAAAAATGTATATGAATAATAAATAATAATTACATGTCAACACATTTTGATACATAATTCATGACGAAGTCCCTCCGCTGCAGCTGGAGAGACCTCTTCATTCTTATTACGATTGGCTGTATTTATTGGGGTGTTCATAATATGAGCCAATAAAAAATTTAATTTATCAGACGATAGATATTAATATAAGTTGAACCAGTTTATTTATTGGAACGTACATATTACTGATTTTTTTTAACAATAATGAGGAAAATTACTTCAGATAGTCTATTCGCCACAACAGTTCCTGCACTTCCAGCACCGACCACTATAAAATCGTATTTTATGTCCATTGTGATGTAATCATCTTGTTCCACGGTGGTTTCTCGTTTAATCGTGCCATATCTCTGTGTTGGCTCCAAAACTGCTGATTCGGATTTGTGTAAAATATATTCAAAGAGACAAAAAATTAAACAAAAATTCGATTTCATTGTACACAAAAAAAAAAGAAAATACTAAGGACAAAACGTTAAATCCACGTAAGTGACGAACACTGTAAATACACGTGTATACCAGATACCTATACTAGTTAGTGAACACTAACTAGAATTCATCTAAATTTATATAATATTCATTAATATTATAGTTTCACCTACTTGATTCTTTTGAACTAAAGGAGGGAAAGTCATTTTAATATGGTAAATTTATTTTTATTTGTATTGTTATTTAGCACTCGATCATTAGCGATCCATATACATATAATAGTACATACTAATGTACCTATAACCTATAGCTATACATTAAATTATTCAGTTGATTTGTTTATTATGTTCTTGGGTTAACAATTTATTATAGTTATTGGTCATTTTTACTATCTAAGTGAGACGTTGTGAATTGATGTTTTTTGGGTGGATGGTAATTGGACCACATTCTATCTACCGGATTCGTAAAAAATATACATATATACATTTAATTATACCCATAAATGAAATAAATCATTTTTTTAGTGTACAGGAAATCTTCCACGATTATACATATCTTATTATATTAAATACAAAGAAATGTTGGTTAAATATAATACAACATAATGGATCATGGATGTTTATTAATAATTTTTTTATTAGTTAGGTATTTCATCATATCTGGTCTGATTTCTGACCTTCAGTGTACCTGCACACCTAATGTGAATTTCTGTTAGAACTTACAATCAAACAGTTGAACAACCATTGCCCATGGGTACTGGCCCAAATGTGACAGACACAATATTTTTAAAAAAATGATAATTTTGCATTATATTATCAACCCAACAATTACCGTGTGTCCAATAAAAAAAAAACCGTAAAATATATATTACACCTAGACTATATTGGACCAATTACCAAGTAGATCTTTTATAAACGTAAAATGCTAATAATGTAATTACCGTATATACCTACGGTGGTGCATACCTTTTTGAAAAAATATTCACTGTGGTCCAATAATGACCAGCCGGCAGCCATCCATTTTAGATTCTGAGCGGAGCGACAAATGTATTGATTTTACAAGGATATGTTTCTTTTTATTTAGGTACTTTTTTTTTATTGTGCCTGCGTACCTACATAATATAATAACTATAGACGAAATAATTACTTCAGCTTTCAGTATCTCTTGCATTGGAAAGTGAATCTAGTTAGTTCATTCGGGAAGTCAAAATTTAAAATTACCAGAAGTTTTCAAAAGCACCGGGAAAAACTAAAAAAAAATTATTTTCGACAAAATCGACATGCATTTTTTCCCGAATGTTTATTATTAGCATTTTCAAACATACAATATCTAAAATATTTTGGCGACTCATGTTCAGCTATAATATTATAATCATATGAAATTTTTAATTTTTATTAGTTTTTTTAGAACTAATGTTGATAACTTTTGTTCGCTTGGTCAAAATAATTAAAAATGTAATATATAAGGATCGTCGTAAATTTGTTGTTAGTGAAAAATAAAAAAAAATGTCGAGTGTAAATCTACAATAAGTTTTATAAGCGCCTGGAATTCGAATTTTGTCAAAATTCGTAAAAATCACAAACATTTGCAAATTCTTTTGAGTTAGAAATTCATAAAACATTTTCTTTTTATTTCTAAAATTTGAAAATTGAATACAAAATTCCTCATAAGTTTTTGTTTTTTTAGACAAAAAAAAGATTATCCAAAAGCCATATTCATTTTTTATGAGCTTATGAAGCTCAAATTATTTCGAAATTGGAAATACTCATCCTCAACGATTTTTTTATTTTGTTGTAATTCAAAAACTAATAACCTTGAAAGGAAGATGCTTAAAATTTTCCCCAAATTATTATTTAATAACAAAATAATTTTTTTCTAGGTCAAAAAGCTTGAAAATTGAATACAAGGTTCTTCATAGTGGGGTAGTTTCATATACTTTAACCAAAATTTATAAAAATTATATAAACACGGTATTTTTTATAGACATTATAATATTCAGTTGAAATTTTGAAGAATTTAGATATTCAAACTTTAATATATTTTACACAAAAACTAACAATGCCAGTTATTTTGTTTTAAATTTAAAAATATAATTCGTGGGTAGCTATAATATAGTACTATACTTTTGGGTACCTACTCGAAAATTTTGAAGCATATTATTATATTTTATACACACAATGACATTTTCAAATGCAATGTTTTTTTTGAAAAAATGAATTCAACGTACTATAATATTAGTAATTGTAAAATAAATTACTTTAATAGCAATAATATGATAAAATATGCTTTTATTTATAGTTATAAATAATATTTATGCTGACAGACCGTTTTCGCACAGAATCGTTTTTTGTATAGATACCAACAATGATTATTGATTTAAATCATTAAATTCAAATTTAATACACCCATTACCTACTGAACGACAAGGTACACTGGTCGACCCCATGACATACAGTATATACATACTGTAGTGAGCAGATCGACATTCAGATTATTTTTAACTATATTAAATACGTGTAATACCACTAATATAGTAATATATAATTTTGATACATAATTTACTTATAATATAATATCTTTGGTAGTGACTTTAGACAACTTTATGCGTTAATCAAACATAAAGTTTATTTACGATAAAAATTAATGAGTAATAAAAATCTATGAAATACTTACCCACGTAGGGATATTAAAAAAAAAATTTTGTTTTTTTTTTTTGAAACACTTACAATCTGTACTTCAAACACCAGCATTATTATATATGCATTATTTTATAGCATTATTATAAACATAATAATAATAAATAACATAATATATAAAACACACACGATGAGGGAATTCTATCCATTGAACGCATTGATAGAACCCAACGTGATTTTTATTGTATAAAGTCCTTATACCCAATGCCCAATTTATACCCTTACAAGTTACAAAGATTGTACCCATCATAAAAAAATACGCTATATTAATAATATTATGATTTATAAAATATTAATGATTATAAATTATTATAATATTATATTAACTTTAAAATTATTTAAAACAAAAACTATAAATCTACTTCATTAAATTTACATGAAGAGAGACGATAGTGAAAAGAAAACAATTGTTTATTAAATTTAATAGTCTGATATTCTGATCTTATAAATATTTATAATGGAACAAATACCATAGGTATCAGTGTACTATAATATATATTAATATGTACTGTTGTAATTTGTAAACACATTATAGATACCTACAATGTATACTCAAAAATAATATGAACGCAAATATAAATTCGTCAATCCGAGGCTCCGAGCGCTATATAATATTATGATAAATATGATTTATGGTCTTTCCGAGAATACGCTCACTCATAAGTTGTTACTTCATACACAAATAAGGGGGACTGGAGGACTTAGCCCTCCAAAAAACTAATTTACTTCACTACATAATACATTGGAATATCCAGTATATAGACCTGAGCTTCAGCCAACCCCCCCAAATGCCAAACACTATTTGCGCCTATAAACCGCTCACTGACGTGATATCTTTACGACAGGTGGCACAGCATAATAATATTACGTTACTATCATTATTTATTATGCATTTTTTTCAATAATTAATAATTCATCTTAAAAATTATTCTAAATTAAAAAACTTTTATTTTCGCCTTCAAAATTGGCCACCCCTATGCACATTTTACGTCGGGGCACTGCCCTCTTTTCCCTCCCTCATATAAGCCAGCACTGTTTACGCCAAAAATCTTTATCCGATACATCGTTGTAAGTTAATTATTTTAGAAAAGATGATAAATATTATTAAAAATAAACTAATAAGTAAATACAATTTTACATGTTTACAAGTTAATATCCATCGGTGATTATTGAAGTTGGCTGGTAGATTGACGTTTCCCTAAAACATACAATTTTAAAATTTAAATATAAACATAATATACATAATCTAATACAACTAATACAAGTTATTACATTACACTTCATTTTATTTATTTAATTTGTATTTAAAAAAAAAAGGAATTGATAAAATGACCATACGGTGTAAATTTCATGTATCTTTAGATGTATACAGTAATTCGTTTTTGAATTACAATAAAATAAGAAAATCCCTACAGAGAAATCTAGTGAATATCCAATGATGTACTACTTTTAACTTTAAACACTCATAAAAATTTAATTTGATATCATTTTTTTAAATAAAGGTAGACAATTTTATAAGGAATCTTGTATTAAATTTACAAATTTAGATTTATAAAGAAACATTTTTATAAATTTCTAACTCAAAATAATTTGCATATTTTCGTGATTTTTACGTATTTTGTCAACATTTGAATTTTAAATGCTTAATAAAAACTGCCATTGTAACAATACCTATATTAGGAGCCTTGTATTACATTTTCAAACTTTTTGACCAAACGAATATAATATTGTATTGACATTTATAGAAAAAAAAAACTAAAAAATTGTAAACTGAAAACGTCGGTAAACATCTCAAAACAAGTCCAAATATTTTGAAAATTGTGTAGTGTATAGATAATGCTAATATAATATCGCATGTATCTACGGTCATTTGTTTTAGAGTTATATATTGAAAACCGAAACCGATTTTGTTGAAAACCTATTTTGTGTAAAAATTCTCGTTTTTCTTAATTTTTTTTTTTGTGTTTACCTGCGCTTTTGAAAGCAACAGTGAATTTTATATTTTATCCTCCAGAAAGCACCAAAAAGATTGACTTTCCCAAACAAGAAGCATTATTTCGACTACTTATTGTGTACACAGACACAAAAAAATAAAAATAATAAAAACACACATTGTAAAATCAATATTGCTCCTTTATCAAAAAATAAAAAGTAGTCATTGGTGGTTCTATAATAAATCGTTTATATATTGTATTATATTATTATATAGCCACATTTCATATTACATTAAATATGTAAGTTGTAAGTATGTATAAGATTCTGAAACAATAATTAATTGGACGGTGGTTCTTAGTAGATACCTATATCTGGGTATTTAATAGTAGATAATTTATTTCTCAATGACAAATTCCAATAATATATAAATTGCATAACTTTTGTAATAGTTTCTCTTTTATTTTACGTTATTGTCGAGATGATCCGTGGGTTTATAATGTATAGGCACGAAAATATAACAACATACGCATATACATGCATTATTCCGGGGCAATTTATAAACTATTACGAATAGAAACGTAGGTATACTTAGTCACCTTTAAGTGTTTAGGTACCTTGGTTGATGCTCAGCCTATTATGTATCAACAAGAAACATTTAGTAGGCAGTAGTAAATCTATCTATTTTTGTGAACACATTAAGTGGGTACTTCGTCAGTCATCAGTAGTAGGTACCTAATATGAGTAAACTGATAAGTAATAATTAATAACCACCACTCACGAGTCATAACTAACTAACTAATTAATTATAAATTGCCCAAATTTCAAAATACCCAAATAGCACCTATATAATATAATATGATATAATATGCAAGCAAAGGTTCAAAAATACGGAAAGAATGTGCATCAACAATGTTTAATATGCATTGTGGTAAAAGTATTGAGTACATATAGCTTTTAAATTTGTACAGATTGTAAGGTATTTTTAATTTATTTTATTACTTTATTACGAAACAATTTAAATGGTATTAGTAGCATATCATTCTAAATTTGATATTGTATAAAATATTCAGACAATGATTCATTAATTATTAAAAGCTACAACAATTTTAATTTATTCTTGATCAGTATTTATAAAGTATGCAAATGCTATGCGATTACCTAAAAGTACGTAATTTATGTATTAAATTTGTTTACTACTATAGAATCTACGCATGACGAATCGTCGGCATATTTAATCAGAAGTGAGAAGAAGTCTATTACTTCCTATTTTATTTTAAATTTAATCATTACCTACCAAATTAGGTGTTTATTTATTAATTAATATTTTTTTTTACTCAAAATCTTAAATTATTATACCAAATCACCTGAAATTAATTGCATAAAGATATATATACTTATGCTACGCCTACGGTGACGAAATTTGGGTTTACCAATGACACATGGCAAGTCATAGGCAATTGAATGGGTAATTACTAATTTGATAATTATACATTTTAAACTGGTTATAGATGGTTGAAGATGTTCTCTGGAGGTGAATATTTACAAACAACATGGAAAATGTTGATGTTCGACATTTCATCATATACATTTTTGATTATTTCGGCATCTCTGGCCTGATTAAATCACTAAAGCTTTCATAGTTCATATTTTAAAAGGTACCTATAAAAGCTTTAAAAAAAACCTGCTCTAATCTAATCACTACCAATTTAGGTTAAAATTTGCATAAGTATAGCGTATACACACTATAGATCATCATAGACGGTACAGTTGGAAATTGAAATAGTTAGTGCTAAAAGTACCATAAACTATTATCGGAATGACAGTAAAATATGTTCGGTAATTAGGTAGGTACCTATACGTATTATTTTATCTATAGTAGTTAAAGTGTTTAAACTCAGCCTGCGCAATGACTGACCGTTGTCCCACCAATTTCAAAATTAAATTCGTCAACATCGTGCAGACTTCAACTAACCACCGTACCTATAATTGTGTATCTATTTTCCTAAATTTCTTTGTACACACAAAATATGTTAAAATTACCTTAGTTGATAGTCATGTGCATAAGGAGCTTTATTTTGATTGAATATCCTATGATAGTATGAAAACGAATTTTTTCGTTTTGCACAGCACATCATGATTCCCATTGTAAATGGTACTGTCAATATGACGCCAATCAGTATTCCTATTAACAATATTCCGTCTTTTTCGGGACGGTTATTGTAGAAATCCAAACACCGCATATGGTAATGGCGATGATCCAAATCAAGAATCGAAATTCCACTCATTTCAATTGGCTCTTGACAACTAAAAACAAATTTTATAAAATTTATGATAGAGCCTAAATTATATAAATTAATAATAATAATCACGTGAAATCATTGAGGAATTCCGGATGTCTTGATTCTGCCATCGGAGCTAGAGTAGACACGAGCCATTGATTTACACAATCACATATCCACTTGTTGCCTTGTAAGTTCAATTCTTCTAACGTGTCCCATCTGTTCAACAAGCGGCTATCCAAGTATCCCAAAGCGTTATAACTCAAATCTAACTACAAACAAAGACACTCAAGACTTACTGTTATAAATAAACGGCGATAATCTTAAGTGTAACCTAACCTATATATACTTACTTTGACAATGCGAGGCCACGATTCGCCTTCTGATCCGTCATTAAATTTGTAGCTAAACGCAGTCGGGTCAATTGATTTGAGTTTATTATTATGCGTGCAGTGAAATTCCTCAAGACCATTAAGAAGACTCAGAGCACGTGGTCCGATAATGTTTAGTTCTGACATGTGAGACAAATGGAGTACTTTTAACGATGCCATTCTTGGGAAACTCCTTAATAATAAAATTAATATATACATTTTAAAACAACATTAAACCGCGGGTCACTACACTAGTAGAATAAATTATAAAATGTACTCACAAGATGCTTTTTATCGGATTAGAACTAAAATCTAATCTCTTTAACGCGTGTGCTTCGTCCAGCCCTTGTGGGATTTGTGTGAATTCGTTGTTTGACAGATTTAATATTTCTAAAAATCGAGGTGTGTGTAAAAGATGATTTGGCAACTCGTGCAATGATGTATTGGACAAATTTAAGACCTGTACAAATTGTAGATTTTTAAATGGTTATCCGTTATTATACCTACCAACCTTACAGTGTAATTAGTTATTTTTATACTTTTAACATGGGCAACGAAGACAGTGCGAAACTAGTTGGTCGATCAATGACTGTTAAAGGATTTCCTGCTAGTGTCAGTGAAACAAGGTTACTGAGTTCTTTGAATGTATTTGGCAACAGCGAATGGATATTGTTGTAATCGAGGCGTAAATGAATCAAGCTACCTGGTCTAGAAGTATCTTCGATACTAGTCTGCACGACGAATATAAAACACAATTTATAATTATTAGGTACCTAGGTATATTTACTTAATTTTAGTAGAATTATTAAAAAATACCAACCTTGAAAATATCGGGATTAAGACTTTCCGCAGTCAACGAATTGTAGCTCAGGTCGAGTTCCAATAGTAACTTTAAGTTTATAAATGCCATTTCGTCTATTTTGTTTATCTTGTTTTGTCGTAGTGACAAGTATCTAACTTTAGACGGTGGCAACTGTTGCACATGCACAATGCCATTGTCATCGAAATGCATGAGGGTTGCATTCTTTACGACTTCTGTGTGGTCCCATAGGTCTAAAATGTCTATCAATCCATTTTCTGTGCAATTTATTATGGAATTTTTACACGTGCAAGTATCGCATAAAATACTTTCACCGCCAACCGCACAAGTCGCAATGATAATTAGCATGCATGATGCAACGTTTTTCAAGAACCTGCAAATTAAAAAAAAATTATGTAGAAAACATATATAGGTACGTTTAACTCTAAAATTAACAAAAACTTATTCCATATAATTTTGGATTTCAATCAACCGAGTTAAACATAAAATATAAAATCATAATATACTAACATGTTTATGAACAGACAAAACTACTATTAATTCTGGTTGAATTCCAATTTATGAATAGAGGCGTACCTATGCAGTTCATGTAGCACGCAAAACAAAGTCAACAATTTCGAGCGCAAGATAAATAAATAAATCTTATCATAAGACAAACATTCGCTTTAGATACGCCATTGTTTAAAGTAACGTAACTAATTCCGTGCCTACTTTAATTTTAGCCTAAACGCATAATATGAGTATTGACGTATTGAATCAATAATAATAATAAATAATAATAGGTTGGGTTACTCGTGTTGTTACAACACAGGTTAGGTATATATTATTATTATGATATTTTTTCTGAACTTGGTAAACCTTTCCTTACACAGGTATAATCTAGACACGCGGTAGCGTGTCAAGCCAAGTTCTAGCTAACAGAACTGGCGAGCAGCACCGTGTGTAATATTACACGAACCATTTGGAGCCACTTTTGACCCCCTCATAACTCAAAAACTATTCCACATAAACATGTCAAATTTGGCTCATATATTGAGACTAACGAGATACATATGTGCTATAAATTTCATAAACATACTTCAAACCGTTATTTAGATATTAACGTCCGAAAATCGTCATTTTTATCACTGACTTACCTATAGATCAAAATTCTAACCCAGTTCCAGATGACCTAGAAAGTTCAAATTTGGCATACAGATAGGTAGTTAGGTAAATACAAAGGAAAAAATCAGAAACTTGAAAATTTTTAATTTAAAATTTTTTAATTTTTGATTTTTAATTTTTCAATTTTTAATTTTTTAATCAATTGATTTTATTATAATTTTGAAATTATTTTATCTATTATGTTTAATTTTTCAATTTATTAATGAATTGCCTCTAATTTAATGTAATGTTGACTTAAATAACCTTTCCCGTATCGCCGCTCCAAAAATACGACTAGCCGAATATGTGTCGAATGTCGATATTGTCGACCCGCGCGCAGCAACATACTTTTTTTTCTATCTATGTATTTAATTAATATTATTTTTTTTAAATATTACAATTAAAATAATTAAATAATTATTCTTACAAATTATGAATTATCCACCCAACAGTAGAAACTACAGTCAATAAAATTATGATAATTAAAAATATACTCAAAAAGAGTTAAAATAATTGTATAACAATTTTACATATATTTTATACTCTGTATATACCAACGGAAAATATTTTATAATAAATATTATTATTAATATTAGTAACTGAATTATATTATATAGTAATAAACTTTATTTATAGAATACGTCATGGCTAGGTTAGGTTAGGTTATAATAATTTACATACAAAAAGTAATGATATCCCACCAAAAACATATATGTAAAATGAGAGCCAAGTTCAATACTATAATAATATATACCTTGGTTGTTGACTTCAACGACAAAAGAAGTGAGATCTAAATGGGTGCCAAGTTAGGATAATATATTGAAGCCTAAGGTCTGACTTGGCTACGAATTATATATTATAGCATTTGCAAGTTCTAAAGCTTTGAGTTCTTATTTTATTCTTCGGAAAATCATCTTCACTCTTCCATTACTGTTTTAGTAGGTACCTACTTATAATAATAATTCGTATATGAAAAGTAGCCAAGTCACACCTTAGGCTTCAATATATTATCCTAACTTGGCACCCATTTAGATCTCACTTCTTTTGTCGTTGAAGTCAACAACCAAGGTATATATTATTATAGTATTGAACTTGGCTCTCATTTTACATATATGTTTTTGGTGGGATACTGTTCTCCGTTATTATAATCGTAATTATATTCAAATGGACATTGTGGTGCCCAAACATGTATCGAGAAAATGTCATGCTAACAGTTAACGGTTTGAACGATATAGACGCCTACAGGGCCTGAAATTAAGACATTTTGCTACTGCTCACCTAATTCCACACCAAAATATTTTAAAATAATGAACATAGACCTAGTAGTGCTGCACATGCCACATATAAATTCATTGCATAATTGTTTTTGCTATTCATTAATAATTAGTTATAATAAATACAATCTAAGACCGTCTTCCATAAAATTCCTTGATACCTATAATATAGGTATATGGCTATATATTATAATGACTAAACATTTTAAAATTAAAAACGAAATAGCAGCTCGGGTTAATATACATGTTCTATTATAAGCCTCCCAAAATATGGTGTAGTCGGTATAATTTTTAGTGTCAAGGATTTTAAGCGAATACAACAATATGCTAATTAGTATTTTTCAATGATCGATATTGAATATTAGGCAATCAAATAAAAATGTATAAAAGCCGAAATCAAGTACTGCTGCACACTTTTAAATTTGCTACCGTACATTTAATATTAGCTACTGCACACAATTTTAGGCCCTGGACGGGAAGTTACCGTAGGACTAAAATATAACAACAGATAGGAAATAAACTCGTAGACATTGATAGGTAATAAGTAGGTACGAATACGTCTTCATAATTGACGCTAATATAACTTTTAAATAATATGAATAACGAGTACCTACCTATACACTGCAATTATAGGTACAACTCATAGTAGTAAACTAGTAAAAATTCTAAAATAACTACATAAATCTTATGACTATGAGAACCCGGATTTTCAGGTTTTAACATTCACGGAGATGTCAGCGCACCGTTTGTTTTCTCTCTCTGTCCCACACGTACAACATATTTTAAACAAAACTACTGCAGGCCACACATTGTAAATATTGTGAGAAAAACAATTCTTATAAATGTATTTCAATTTGTAATTTTAATTTTAACTTGTCACCTTTACACAGTTTTTTTATCCTTTACCGATAAAATAAAGCAATATTATTTTCTTTTGAGTTGCTGTGAATTTCTATTTTTTTTTTTATAATTATTATTAGTTTTTCACCATAACTATATGTAATAATTTGTAACTTTTTAGAGAAAAAGCGTATATCTTTTTGGTAAAAAAAAATTAAATGTGCATACTAGGCCGGTGATTATTTTTACATTCGTAGATTATTTTTGCATTTTTTTCTCATTTTTAGAGAATATTGTTTTGGTTAAATTTTTTTTTACCTCAAAATCCAGATTCTACTTATGGCATATCATAAGAAATGTTTAATAATATCACAGTAATATGCAACCGATTTTACGAGCATAAAACCTGACCATAATTATTATTTTATATTATAATAATACCACCTCGAGTATATTATGCATCCACCCATGTGACATGTATTGTTATTTGTTGTGAATCGTATAATAGCTGGATGTACCACCCCGCATTGTAATGACTCTTTCTGACAAACGTATAGGTATCTACAAATTACAATAGGTACATATCAAATTTTGAGTTCAGCAGTTCCAAATGTTCCAATGGTGTGTTGTTAATTTTAAAATTAGAGTGAATTGATTGACCTGTTATCAGACTTAAAACGAGAACATTTTTTTTTACGTCTGTTTTATTTTTAAATTTAAATTTTTAAATGAGAGATACGAGTAGGAGGTGCAGCCTACTGGGTTACGAGTGAGGTATCACAATTTGAAAATATTACCTTCATCTCGAAATAAAAATGTACTAAAAAATAGAATAATAATATTATGTTCTCGTTTTGAGTCTGATATTAGCTGGTGAATACCAGGGCTTGAAACTGGTTTAAAAACCTCAAAACTTTAGGAACTAAATATTAAAACACCTTTCCAAAAATATCTACTGCAGTGCTTACCACGTTTTTATGTTAATCTAGACCAGGGTATAAAGTTGAACTACCTACTATAATAAATCTCAATTTTATTACAAGTATTTAAAAAATTTAGATTCTGCGATTATTAGGTTAGTATGTAAATGTTGAACAATTTGGGCAACTTTAATGATTTAAATTTTACGACATGACAATTCAAAACAAATCGAAGGTTTCCTCGTATTCTAGTCACGCTGTTAAACACTGTATATTATAATAAAACGAACTTGGCTTGGGATCGTTTCCTAAATGCTATAGGCTATATAGCCTACAATTTATATTTGTCATAGATTTTTAATATTTACAACACTTTATTTATATCATTACCCTTTGCCAAGGTGAGACTTGTGTCCAACACACTCCCTTGTCTCACAGTCAAGGCCACAACTTGGGGAGGAGAGTGGTGAGAAAGACCCAGGAGTCCAGACCCCTCACCCCCCCCCCCCCCCCCCAAAAAAAACTTTTAGCAGTGAATATTAACCCGTTGTATTAAGAAAAATGTTATATTCTCGTTAAAGGAGTAAAAGAAAAAAGTTTTTATATTTTAAAAAAGTATGAGTCTCCAGTATCTAATATATTTAAAAATGTTAAGCCCACCCACAGACATTTATTTTCAGTTATGGCCTTGGCTACACTATGTAGGTTTTAATATAAAAAAAAACAAATGTAATAAAAATAATTATGCACAATTTACTACGAATACTAAATACAAATAATCCTTGTAGTAAATAATCGATTTACTTAAATATTATTTAAAAATTTTTGTTAAAACTTGAATGACTATAAGTATTTAAAGAATAAAAAACTCGTATCACAAACTAGTGTAAAATATATATAAGAAAAAAAATTACAATTGCAGTTTACAGTGTTTTTTTTTCAAAAAATTATTTTCAATAAAATCTGGTACAACAAATATAATATGTACATACAACGTAATTTCTTTCCCATAAATAAGTGCCAGTTTTATTTTTTTTCAAACTTTCATTTTGAGTACCTAGTCATAAAACATTTTGTTATTATTTTTGTATGCTATAGGTACATGTTTGTCGCAGCAGTAGAATTCAAGTTAAGCTAACTAATTAGTATACGCAAAGGTAATCATAATGGTTTTCAATGTGCCTACGGTATTAAATTTACATTGATTCAACAATATTTTGAAACCATATTTTATATAAATTATGTACCTACTCAAAATTTCTTTTTCATTAAAGGTATCTACCAATAACAAGCTGAAGTATATATTTATGGTTCTATTAAAATTACATTTACAATAAAAAGCTAAAAAATGTAAATAATAAAAAGTTTACAACAGGTGACTATGGGAGAACTGTTGCTTGTAATGTGTAATGATATTTCAATAGATTGTTTATAGCTATAAAATAGTTCATTTTATTTCAACTCAACATTTTAAATTATAGGTACCCATTATTATCAAATTCACCTATTGTTTAGAATTTTACAGATTTTACATTTTCTCATTTATTTTTAATAAAAAAAAAAAGATACTAATTGCTAGCTTATAGGTTATAATACCTTATAATAAAACTATGTAATAGATACAGGCATGACTAAATAAAGTTTATTTAGTCGTGGATAAAGATATCTACTGTTTTCATTACACATTGAGTCATAGATCCAGTTACATGGCAATATGGCATAAACACATTGATAATTTTAAAAAAGAGATACATCTATTTATATTATATTCTGAATCAGATTGGAAATTAAGAATAATTTAGTACCTATAAAATGAAAAAATTGATTTTAGGTTTTCATAGGGTTTTCCAATGAAATATAAGTATTTTAAGTGCACACCATAAATAATCATAGAAAAACTTAGAAGAAGTATTAGTAAGTTAGATTGTTTGATTAGTTTGATTGAGCTTTGTTCAGAATAGTTTTTTTGAATACAAGTGTTAATCATTTTGACAAAGTTTTAATATTAACAAAATACAATTCGATAATCTTTACTTTTTATCTTTATACACAATTATGATGCACAATATTGGTATGCATCTATAATATATATATACATATATATATATATAATCCAATACTAATCAAATAATTTAGATAAGTACCTATTTTAGTACCATATACTAATTAGTAACTAGTTTACATTATACAGTGTCTCACTGTGATTATTCTCACAAATATGTTTTTCCATTAACTACAACATATTTTACAAACTTCTAACAAAATATACCTGCATAATACCAATACGCAATACCTACTTAATGGAAATCGTTAACTCAACTTTTTAAATATGTATTTACATACATTTTAGTCCTAGAAATAACTCTCAAATATTTGTACAACAATAGTTTTAAAAAATACCAATTATAATGATGTTACACAGTAATACACCCTGTTTAATAGATCAGGTACTTCCGACAATCTGAAAATAAAAGGCTCAACAACAATATCATAGTAGATCCGTACTGAATAATTTTAACTTAACTGTTTAATATACAGATGATGTTTAGTGATATATTAGTATTAAGTAGGTATAGAAATAAATAAGGTACGCAGTGTTTAACAATGTATAAACATATTAAACATACAATTAATATACTATCCAAAAATACATCGTTCATAATACATGTATGTTAATTAATTAACACCCAATGTCTGCAGAGTTTGAGAACACATTAAAATTGCAGCTAAGGCCTTAACTAGGTAGGTTAACCTACCGATTTTTGTGTATGTGCCACATTTTAGAGAAAAGTACATAATTTGGCATTATTCATTTGTTTATTGGATTAATTATTGTCTACTATGTTAACTTTTTAACCATATGTTTTCATCTACGCAAGTTTGAGTATTTCTAAATGTTGATATAGTAAAATCACCAATTTTATACAATAAATTGAGAGGGAATTTATCTGTGCTTTTGTAGTTTTTTATTTCTATAAATATGTGTAAATTGTATTTTTATACTATATTAAAAAACATTAAATGTCTTTAAAAACTTATTGAAAACTGAGGGCCGTATTCATAGTTGCTGCTTAAGAATAAGTATTGCTTAAGCTAATTTTGAAAATTAAAAAAAAAAAAAATGTGATAATAACTATAAGCAATGCTTAAGGTAGGTCTTGACCAACCTAAATTTAAGTAATACTTTTTCCTTTCTTAAGCCAAAGTCTCGTTTATAAAACTCATTTGAGTCATACTTATAGTTTAAAAAATACTTATTCTTAAACATAGAGTATGAATACCGCCATAAGTATTTAAATCATCAAAAAAAAACAAAACCTTGTCAGATGATTTAGTATATGAATATTTTTTAATTGTAATATTTTACATACTCAACATTTGTAGGAATATTTATATATTGTAAAAAACCCAATGTTCAAACACAGATAATGTTCTTAACTTGTTTAATCATAGAACAAATTCACTCCAATATTAAAGCTAACAACACATGATTGGTACTGCATATTGCACATTTTCTGTGTTTATTACAAGTTCAGTGAGAGAAAAAATACTGGGCTGACACTCTCTTAAGACGGAGCATCAGTAAAACAATTTTCAGTCTCGCGTTTTTTCAGTGATTGTGATTAGATTATTGAAATAAAAATATCCTTTAAATTGTATGAAAAGTATTGTGCTTTGACAGAAGCTTTGTTTAGTATTTTTATTTTTTAGAAAGTTATTAGAAATGATAAATAATTTTTTTAAGAGGAACTCATCACACCTGCATATTATGTTGTCTCCTTCTTACACACGTACAAAATAGACTAAATGCGTTTATGCAGTCTGAGTAGAACTCGCTAAGTTTTGGTTCTAGAGTAAAAATACCCATAATAAAATTGAATTGTGACAATATTTCTGAGCGCAAGTTGTTGCATTTTTTCCATTACAGAATTATACCCAATATAACTTTCATTATATTTAGAAATAGAAAAATGTCAAAATTTTTAAAATACTTTAAACTTTTCAAAATTTAAATTTTTAAAAAATAAATTTTATAACTTACACCCTCAGAAATATTGTCACAATTCATATTTATAATAGGTTAATCTAGGTTACTCTAGAACCAAAACTGAGCAAGTTCTACTAAGACTGTATAAACGCATTTAGTCTATTTTGTACGTGTGTAAGAAGGAGACAACATATTATGATGATGTGGCATCCTTTTAAAAATAATATTAAAAAAAAAAAATTTGAAAAAACTCAAATAATATTATTCTTTATAATTTTTTAAGCAAAGATCTTCCTTATTTTCTTAAATTCTATAAAAAGATGTATGATTTTAGTGTTATTATAGATATCAGATATTCAATCGCGAGAACTGCATTTTAATTCAAATAATTGTTGGTGGGTAACTTCTTCGGAAGCATAAGTATTAAATTAATTTCTCAATATTAAAATAGGAGACCATATTATTATATCATTTTAGAGGAAAAATGTCCTACTATTATATCTTTAGAAACCTGGTGGTATCAAATTAGTACACAATCTTTTGCAATACCAAATTTAAGAAATAAGAAGAATAAGTCAGTAAAACCCAAATAATTAAAATACTAGGTTATATGAAAAAGTAATTTAAAAATAACAATCTGACCTGATATAGTTTTTTTCAATTTTGATATTTTAAAGGTAAATACTTAAATAATTCACCAACAAATATTAATTAGTTAATTATCTTTAAGCAAAATCAAATATCAATGAAATAATATTAAATGTTTGAATTGTAAATCATATTATAATATATATAATAATTTATAATAAGTAATTAAATGAAACAGGTGAATATGTTAAAATTAAAATCAATGATAAATTTATTTTTCCATTAATATTGGTAAACAAAAGTTAACATTAAATTTCCTATATAGGCGATATAAGTAGTTAAAAAATAAAAAAAATTTACATAGAATTTGAAACAACAAACATTTTGTATATTTTATACAATCCCACCATTACTTGGCTATTGTTCTAGTGTTTTGCTCTGCCAAAGGTTTTTGTCCACCCCTTCGTCTTGATTTCTGAGCAGGCTGATTTTCGTTTTCTCCGACATTCTATAATAAAGAATGCATAAAAAGTAAACACGCAAAGTTTGATAATATTTTTTATAATATGTTTTAATGTTTAATTACTTGTCCTTGGGCTTGAGGGTTTGACTTTTGAGGTTTTTGTGATTGTCTGACGCCTATTTGACCTGTCGGAGGGGGCACAGCTAGTACATTGCCAACAGCCTTTGTCCTGCCTTCTCTAAATACCAACCTTTGACCAGGTCGTAAGTACTCTGGGTATTTAATGAATCTAAATCTTACTTTTGCCTTATCCCCAGTTCTCAAACATTCTTCAGACATACTGAGAATAGATGCTGTTTGTCGAATACTACCACAATGAACTGAAAAAAAATGCAACTATAAATTACATAATTGAACATAATTATCGATGACCTACCCATTGCTTGGTAACGAGAACTAATCGTTGTTGGATGATGCAATACAAGTATCTCTCCATCAAACTCCCAGGTAGCAGATGGATTGAGTGATGGAGAAACCATTACCATACCTTTTCGAATTTGGGATCTTTTGATTTTCTTTAAAGCAAAAGAGGCAGTTTGTCCGGCTTTTACTTCACGTACAACCATTCTTTTACGGTGTATACTTTTTACTGTGATAGCAATAAACTGGCCAACGGGATCAGGTCCTAACATCAGTGTATCATTTAAACGAATTGTTCCACATAATGTTGTACCGGAAACTACTGTTCCAACTCCCTAAAATTAAAAATTATTAAATAAAATATTTGAATACCATTAGATAATCATAATTTACAATATATACATACAGGTACAGAGTATGTGTCATCTATTTGAAATTCAGCTGGATCATTATCAGTAGACATAACTCGGGTAGTTAATAGATTTAAAAACATTTTTAATAAATCTAAATTTTCGCCATTTACATTAGAAACTTGAAATATTGGGCAAAGTCTTAAAAAATATATTAATTCAATAATTTATAATCAAATAAATATTTAACAGTTATAGAGTTACATACCTTTGAGAAACAAAATTTGTAGCACTCACAATGACATCATCCTTGGTCTTAACCATGACTGGAACTTTTCTGCAACCTGGTGACTTAAGTATACGAACTAATAATCTTAATGTATCTTGAAGTATATTAGGTGGGCACATATCAATTTTTGTAACTACTACAAACACTGGAACACTAAGAGCTAATGCAAGACCTAAATGTTCTTTGGTCATTCCAATTATTCCAGCATTGGCTCCAATCTAATTGAAATTACAATTTTAAAACATGTCACTGTGAAATTAAATTTTAAATTACCATTAACATGCCAAAGTCAGGCATATGTCCAGTCATACCAAACACAGTAGTCTTCAAGTAACGTTCATGTCCAGCTAAATCAATAAAGGTAATAACTTTGGTAGATTTCTCACATATTTTTACCCAATCTAATGATCCATGTTCTGGTCTATTCACCACTTCTCCTGTGCTATCAAAACCAAGAATATCATTGCCTACAGAGCTTGTACGTCCCGATTCCATTTCATGTTTGTGTCTAAACAGTTTTAACCTGGCATGGCCTCGACCATTATCTAATTCACCATGAGTCAAAACCCCCAACAATGTTGATTTTCCTGCATCTACATTTCCCACAACCGCTACCCTAAATGAAAATTGTTTATAATTAATTAATTAAATGAATATTTTTTATTTATAAGATGTTTAGTTTATTACCTTATTTCAAGAAAGTCTTGGGATTCTAATCGTTTTCTAACAAGATACTGTGCTGTACTAGTTCCACCTTCAACTCTTTCTCTAAGAAGAACACAGTCTGCATCCTGAGTTGCTGCTAATGAATGTAGTGTAGCCACCGAGGCTTCAAACTCATCATTGGTTAAGCCGCTTCCATCATCTCCAATGCCTACATCATAAATGGTTTCTCCATGTCCTTCTTCTATTAGCTCTTTGAGCCTATGCTGCAGCGTTTCAAATTGCTCTTCAGACGGACTAACCAAACTTGACTGCAAGCAGAAACATTAAATGTCAAAATTAGTTCCTAATACTATATCAAGTGTTGTTATAAGCGAGATACCATATATCTAGCCACCTAGGTAATTATATTTTTTTTAGTTGAAAATAATTGTTTGTAGGCAAATTATGCTAAAAAAATACTTTAATATAAACTTAATATTGACAATTAATTCAACTACAGTCTAAATTACCTTTCCACGGACAGTGGAATAATCAACTTTTTTTACTGCCTTTTCATCTAATTGACCTCTGTTCAATAAGGAAATGGCTTTGTCCGCTGTATTTGGAGTTTGTTCAACTATGTTCGCCATTTAAATCAAATATAATCGAATGGTCGTTTGCAAGTCTTATTCAGCCAAAATTACGGACAAGAACGCCATTACAAGTCGAAATACCGTTCTACAACAAAAACGGTTGGCTATAATTGTGATAAACAAATATTCCAACAAACTATCAAACGTAAAAACGTATACGTACCTCTTATTATAAAGTGCCTCGAAATCACAGTAGAAACAAATTCAGTCGTAGGTCAGCCAATAACAACTATGTGGATCCCAGTCAATATTGTAATGTCTTACTGGCGAAGTGGCGAACTGCTACGACGGTCGTGTATCATTAAACGAAATTAGTATTTACTATTTACCAAGAGTAATAGTCCGTTCTAAACATAAATATTTTGACACCTTGTCAGTAGTTATTATTATTATTATTATTATTATTGTCGAGTTGTTATCAAAATGTTGTTCGACGATGTAAACGTATTAGTATTTGTCAGTGCATGTCACAACGAGTAGAAATAACCATAATATGAAATCACGTAAGCCCCCCCCCCCACATCGGCCACCGAACACACACTGAACGCTAATGACGACACTAAAATACTAAATGAATAAATATTCTTCGAGCTACAAATGTCTTAGGCCCGTCATACAATCATAGTTTAAACCTCGGTTACGCTTGAACCACTGATTTTACCGGCCGAATTCGGTGGTTTAACCGGAGTTCAACTATTGTAATAGGTACTTATGTTTTTACCAAATATTTCCCTAACTACTTGTTTAGACGAAATTGTTCACCTTCACGATATGACAATAATATAAGATACAAGGTGGATAATATATTATAATATTCACCTTGATGAGATATTATCCGAGTATCCTAATCAAAATCTATCAGAAATTCAGTTACATTTACCTATATTACACGGACCTAAGATATCCTAGTTAGGAGTTGAGTCGTAGTCTGTACTCGGTTCTTTTTACTTTTTTACTGTTGTCTGTTTTACTTTTTTAGTCCGTCCGTGGACCGTGATTACTTATTTAGGTATACCAATCGTTTAGAAAACAGTGTCACCACATTTAATATACAATGTCCAAGTCTTTAAAGTTTCAACGACTATGGACTACGACGGAACTGTATTTAATGTACCACAATAAATTATTCGTTCCATTCTTAGAATATATTATTACTTAAAAGGTATAGGGTAGGTTATACATTCATTATTCATATTTTAAATGTTCATATTTATATGCCTGAATAGTATAATATTAGTATATACCTACCTATACTATATTAACATGATCTAAACTCTAAAGTTCCGATGAATTTAATCTATTCTGTATTTCTGTGGATATATTATTTTGTTCCAAATGGTATATGGCACGAACTGGCTGTGAATCGGGATGTTACGGCATTTCTTGCCCTAAAATATTTCCCCCCAAATTTGCAAAAGTATAATGTATAATATAAATGTCCCATGTGGCCATATTCATATACATTCAGTAGTCTTATTGTCTTGGATCAGTTAGGTGTTTATGTAATATAGGTACATAAATACATAATACAAAGTTAAAATAGGTAATATTTAAAATCGTAATATTTTATAAATTACTTAATTATGTAGGATTCCGTACGACCGTGCCCCTTTTTAACAATCCGTGCTTGCATATCGGTACTATTGTCTATTGTACTAAACGATCATTCAAGAAGGCACATGCCATGTGTATGTATTGTTTGTTTGGTGTATCGATGATTATCTGACTCAGACTTATCGTGAACACAGATATATATAAATATATAATAGGTTTAAAAAATGTATATAAAATAAATATATTTAAGTAGTGTTAAAGGAATGTATAATTTTAATTATTTACACTGTAATATAGAAAAAATGTTTATAAAATATATACATATATATGCACACGGAATCTAGGACGTTTCCCTCCCGCACCACTGAACGGGAGAGTTTTCCACAGACAAAAAACAAAAAAGGTGGGTAAGTGGATGTCGCTCTGCTGTACAGTAGGTTACAAGTGGGTCACTGTATAATGGATGCTATTAAATTTGAATTCAATGATACAATATCATTGTATAAGAAAAACGATTCTGAGCGAAGACGGTATGTCAGTCTAGGTTTAAGACAAATTATATACATATCTATGGTATTAAAAAATTATAAAAAATTGACCTATAATAAATTCCAAATTAATCATATCACATTATCACAATATCCATTAGGTACTTATAACACATTATACATCAACATCAATAACAAACCCTAATACTATTTTAGATATATAATAGTACACTTTAGAAGTTTCAAGTAGGTACCCACGAATAATATTATATAATCACAACAAAATAACTAGGTTTTTTAATATGTAATTTCGTCCAAATTTGAACATAAAATGACTATAAAAATAAACTGTGATTGTATATTTTTTAGATTTTTCAATTTTCTTTAAGAAAATTAACTACTTATGTGGAATCTTGTTTATAATTTTCAATCCTTAGCTATAAAAACTGAACATTTTATAATTTATTAATTACGATGATTAATAATTTTCGAGATTTTGAAAAATTCTGTCAAAATTCGATGTTTAAATGCTTATAAAAAAAAATTATGCCTATGTATTTTTAATATTTTTCAACTGATATTGTAACAATATATCAGGAGCCTTGTATTAAATTTTTACACTTTTTGGCCCAACAGATAAAACTTTATTTATATTCATAGAAAAAAAAAACTAAAAAAAAATTGAAAGCTGTAAATGTCCGTAAACAGCTCAAAAGAGTCAAAATATTTTCAAAATCGTATGGTGCATAGAAAATGCTAATATAAACATTCAGTGAAATTTTCATGTATCTATAGTTATTCGTTTATGAATAACAACTAAATAAGGAAACGCTACATGAGAAATCGAGTGAACATCCAATGTTGTAAAAATTTGAATTTCAAACGCTCATAAAAATTTAATTTGACTGTCCGGTAGAGATTTTTTTATTGATAAAGTTAGACAATCTTATGAGTAATCTTGTATTACATTTTCAAATCTTAGATTTTCAAATAAAAATTTTTACGAATTCTCAACTCAAAATAATTTGCTAATTTTCATGATTTTTCTATATTTTGTCAATTTTTGAACTTTAAATGCTTATAAAAAAAACTGTGACTAACGATATTTTTCATCTGTCTTTGAAAAATATGCTAGGAACCTTTTATTGAATTTTCAAGTTTTTTTAAGCAACAAATAAAATTTTATTGATATTTCTAGAAAAAAAAACTAAAAAAAAATGAAAAATGAAAATGTCCCTAAACAGTTCAAAATAAATCAAAATATTTTGAAAATGTTATCATGTATAGAAAATGCAAATATAAACAAGAAGTGAAAACTTCATGTATCTACGGTCAATTGTTTTAAAGTTACACCAAAAACCAAATTCAATTTTCTGAAAAATCGATTTTGCGTAAAAATTCCCGTTTTTCCTTAATTTTTCTTTTGTTTTTCTTGGCGCTTTTGAAAAGTACTGGATATTTTAAATTTTGACCTCCCCAATGCAGCAACGATATTCACTTTCCAATCGAACAAGATACTGAAGTTGAAAATCAAAGAATTATTTCGACTACTTATCGTGTACACAAATACACAAAAAAATAAACAAAGAAATTAAACAATATGACCACACATTAAAGAATTCAAACGAAAATGTCCAGATTCTTAAACAGATAACACAAAACAAAAAGATTATCAACGTTCAAGTCTAAATAAAATATTTAACTAGAGTTAAATAACTAAAAAAAAAAATTGAAGGGGGGTGTTGGCGCCCGAAGGCAAATGCGTTTTAGAAAACAAAAAAAAATATAAGAAATTAAACAATAGGACCATAGGCGCAAATTGGGGGGGCTTAGCCCCCCAAACTTAGCCGTAGCCCCCCCAAAAATCTACAAGTTTATAATGCTATAATATTATAAATGTGTACAGTTTTTTTTTTTTTATGTTTAAATAATTTTTTTTTTTATTGATCTTTATATATAACTCGGCAGCAAAGGCCATTAGTTAATCTCTTACATATTTAAATAATATTATATATTATTTATGTTATATATAAAATAAAAAATTATCACCGATCTTGTAGAAATGAATGTATAATATTATTTTTATCCTATATTATTTGGAATTATTATTACATTGTGTTATTATTGTTATCACGTCATGATCGCGATTGTATATTATACTAAATGTATATTTAAGTACCTACCTAATTCATAATAAATAATTATATAAGATAGGTACTCTTTACTAAACCCACGATGCTAGTAACAGGCGATTAGCCCGCATAATATTTGACATGACGTGTTTATATATAGTTTATTCTATATTATATTAAATGTTTATTTTTATTGTTTTAAATTCGGCAAACTAGGTCTTTCCCTGCGATCATTTAGTGCGCCTATCTGAATTCTGAATGCATTTATATTTTGGTTACATATTATGGTTAGGTACGTAATTGAGTATGCTAAGACCAATAAAAGGTTACAATTATAATTTGTTGTTTGTTTATATTGATTGATATATAGGTATATTGAAATTAATTAATAAATGTATTACCTACTATGTTGTTAAAATCATGTTATTATAAGTCACACCCCCACTTGAAAATTGAGGTAGGTCGACCGTAATAATGAAGAAAAAAAATTTAATTGGATTATGAAGTAATATTATAAGGTAAGATAATATGAATGGTGACGGTGGGGGGTGTGGGGGGCATAGCCCCCCACGGGTCTGCTTGCCCTTAATATATTCAGCCCCCCCAAGTCAAAAGTTGAAATTTCGCCTATGAATTCGACTCTTCCGGTGAAATCTAGCTAGAGTGCCGCCGTCGCCGAAAAAACGGCTATCTTCATCCATCATCATCTTGCTCAGAACTGAAACTTGAAAGTATCGAAATATTTAATGAAAATAATCTGACCATAACGAAATGTGTGAATTTGTACTAACAAACTGTCCATATATATTGATCGCTTATTATTTTTTTGTTCACTGAAATTATTAGAATTGTTAATGAGTTAATCGTCGCCGACGAATGTCGACAATAATTGACGATAGCCATAGATATTATTATAAAATATATTATTTACTAAGATAAATCCATAGTACCTAATCGGTCTTTGTTAAATCGTACGTACTTTTACAGAAATTTTTGTGATCAGCAATGTACTTATTCTGGTTTTCTATTTCATTCATAGTTCGCATGCCAAATTTAACTATCCGAAACTGGTCCGCAAATGTATAGACATTCTATTAAATTACAATGTGAATTATTATAAGTCTCCTTTTTGGTACTTGCCAAAAACTCGACTACCGGGATTTAAATTTAAAAAAATGTGATTTAGGTAACCTATTGGCTATTGATCTATTATAAAATAGAAACTGAACCTACCAATAATATCACTATATAAAATAATTAAATGTGATAATTTGAAGACAATTTCTTAAAACCTCTAAAATATTTTTTTTAATTTAAGTGTTATAAATTTATAATCTAGTTAAGCGGCGCTCAAGCATATTTTTCAATTTTTTTTTTCGGTAACCCATGTATTGTGATTTGTGACCAGTTAAGATGTATATCTATGATGCAAAAATTAACTGCCGGAAATTATTAGTTTTTATGGTAAAGCTTTACGAAGTTCACGATTTTCGGTGTTTTAAGTGCTTGTAAAAATTTTGTTTTTTTAAAAAGAAAATCACCATCATTATTTATTTTTGTATAGGTACATAAAATATAAAAAATATTATATTATACATAGACTTCAGGGCCCCGTATACATTGAATGTGTCCGGGGTCCCAAGAGTCCTAATTGCGGCACTGGTAGGTACCATCTATTAACTATTAAGTAGATATTACGTCATGTATTTTTACTGTTATTAATTATTATTATATTTTGTATTATTCGAAAGTAGAAAGTTATTAGTTATGAAAAATCGATTTTCTTTTATAAATAGTATGTTTATTATTATTTATATTTGTTTCTTAATAATTAATAAAAGAACTCTTTTATAGAGTTGGCGCCCGCAGGCAAATGCGTTTTAGAAAAAAAAAAAATTAGAAATTAAACAATAGGACCACAGTACCACACATTAAAGACTTCAAACTAAAATGTCCAGAAACATAACAGAAAAAACTATTCAAAATGATAAGTTAAGGAAATGATAATATAAACATTCAGTGAAATTTTCATGTATCTACAGTAATTCGTTTTTGAATTACAACAAAATAAGGAAATCGCTACATGAGAAATCGAGTGAATATCCAAAATTTTAATTTCAAACGCTCATAAAAATTTAATCTGACTGTCCGGTTGAGATTTTTTTATTGATAAAGGTAGAAAAACTTATGAGTAATCTTGTATTACATTTTCAAATCTTAGATTTAAAAAGAAAAATTTTTACGAATTCTTAACTCAAAATAATTTGCTAATTTTCGTGATTTTTCCATATTTTGTCAATTTTTGAACTTTAAATGCTTATAAAAAAAAACTGTGACTAAAGATTTTTAATATTTTTCATCTGCCTTTGAAACAATATACTAGGAGCCTTTTATTAAATTTTCAAGTTTTTGAACTCCCCAATGCACCAACGATATTCACTTTCCAATCGAACAAGATACTGAAGTTGAAAATCGAAGAATTATTTCGACTACTTATCGTGTTCACAGACACAAAAAAAATAAAAAAACACACATCATTGTAAAATCAATACATTCATCGTTTCACTCAGAATCTAAAATAAAAATATTAAACAATAATAATGCAAATAAATAAATAAAATATAAATTTACTATTTACTATTTACGAAAATCTAATAGGTAGGTAACTAATATTTTTTGTTACCTATGGTAAGATAGCTCAAGGAATAATAACGTCATAATAACACTGTTGATAGTAAAACACAAAATGTAATAATATTACAAATCGAAAAAAACCTAAATAATATAATATTTTATTCTGGTGAGATGGATCACGGAATTCTTCTTTTATATTTTTCGACTAGTTCATACTCTTACCCAGAGTGCAGCCAGAGGCCGTTTAATCGTGCGTCACATTTTAGTTATAACAGTACGGGACGTTTTTTCGAGTGAGCGGCTGAATGAGTTTGGTGCAATCTCATTCTAGTCTTCATCATAATGTATTTAAATATATAGGTATAATATTATCTTCTCTACATAGTACATCGTGGTACTATCCAATATAGCCGTGTTACAGTAAATTTATTTTATCATGGTCACGTAGATATATAAAGATATTATCTTTTACAGGTCTATGCTTTGTGCCTTTGTATAATATGATCTTTGGACTGTTTGGTTTGGACATCCGTATACTTTCTTTAATCTTGAATCGTGAAACGAAGACTAGAAATTAGAATAAGGAGACCAAAGTCGTTCGAGCGCCCACTTGAAAACAGCGAATACTATGTACGACTGTAAGTAAGTACATTGTACATCGTACATATGTAGTATAAACTATTCGAAGAAAGTAAAAACGTCCCGTAAGAGGACGCTATACCCGCATGCGTTGTCTCCGTCTTACAAATGCACAACATAGCAAAAAACTGTTTTGCGCGGGAAAGAACCGAGAAGGCTACAGTCATAACTAAGAAACGAAATTTTCACCACATAAAAAGGAGAACTATGGCTGTGCAACGTTGTTTTTATTTTTTTGATATCATTTATATGAAAAAAGTTCTTACTGTTTAAAAAACCGTTATTGTTTGTGCTTTTCAAACTTGAAAAACTTTTTTCATATAAATGATATCAAAAATATAAAAACAACGTTGCACAGCCAAAGTTCTTCTTTTTATGTGGTGAAAATATCGTTTCTTAGTTATGATTGCAGCCTTCTCGGTTCTTTCCCGCGCAAAACAGTTTTTTGCTATGTTGTGCATTTGTAAGACGGAGACAACGCATGCGGGTATAGCGTCCTCGTAATGAGTGAATGAGTCGCTCGATAAAACGATCACGCGCTGCGCTGCAGTGCGCTCGTAAAAGTAAGGTTGCTACCATAAATATTATGTCTATAAGGATTAAGGAACCCGAGTACTATCGTTCTATGCTTGTACCACGATTTAAGATTTTAAGATATATCAACCGTAGCAAGTATTATATTATAGTGATTATTCGTGTTTTTTTACGTTTTTTAGAAAATGTATTCATTATTTTAAGCATCTACCCTTTATATATTTTATAACTTGAAGAATCACGCATTCATACATAGTACATACTACATGTGCATATTATAATGTGTACCTATATTTATATTATTAATTATTATTGTGTAAATAATTATTAAACTATACAATCCGCGCTCCATGGTAATCGTAATATCGTATTATAATTATTTATAATCTTAGATTATAAGACCGTGGTGATCATGAATTAAGATATCTTAGTTCCTGGTAGTGATCAATACTGAATACTGAAATACTACTATACAAGCTATATATGTATATATAATATAATATGTATTCAAATACTTGAAATACTTCATAAAAATAGTATTTTAAATACTTCAAAAATAAGAATACTAAAAAAGTACGAACAAATTCAAAATACTTTTTAATTTTTGTTTTAAATATTAAACCTATGATACTTTTCTTCGAGGAAATTTGCCAACATCTATAATTTAATAATTCTGAATATAATGTAGTTTAAGTTGTTGATACTTGATTTAAAATTTTAAAATGTGTATGATATTGTAAATATTTCCAGAAAAACAAGAAAACAATTATCATTGTAAATAATAAGTATTTTTTTATAGGAATATAATTTTAAAAAGTATAAAATAAGAAAATAAGTATATTTTTAAGAGTACTGTTGGAAAAAGTAGTTTAAAAGTATTCTGAATACCTATAGGTTATAGGTATATACACTGTATTTGGTAACTTGGTAAGTAGTTACCTACTGAATAATTACTGATCATGATCTGTTATCATTTAATGTTAATTGTTATCTATTAGCTACTGCTATCTTGACACGAGTTACGTTTTTGGTTTTCTTAACATTTACATTTTTTAATTTTAATTTCAATCATGATAGAAAAACAAGGTATGATCGTAACTTTTTGACGGTCAGATCATTCGGTAAATCGTGACGTGAGTAGTGTATAGTAGTAATAATTTAATGACAATATGATAATACTAGTAAGCAAATGACGTTTGCGCGGGCTTGGACCAAATCTGGACTTTTGCAATCATACCATGTTGTTTATATCATGATTTTAATGCTGCAAACTGTTATCTACTCCTAACTTTACACGCGTATTTTTATTTTTTTAACTTTTAGGCATCTTAAAGTCTACAATATCATTTCACTGTAAAATGAAAAATTACCGCTTCGAAAACTTCGGTCTGGTTTAAGTGACTGCACATAATAATATATACTCTAATAAGGCCTGCACTCTGTATTTGACATCAGTCGTATCTTGTATATATTACCTATAATATTACCGATGGAGGAGTATTCCGAAGAAATATTTTGCTGTTCTCAGTGGATCAAAAATGGAAAATTCGAAAAAGTAATTAGATCTGGGCGGCTGTCCTGTAAACGATTACTCCTAAATAATAACATTTTAATATTATTCATGTTTTATTGTGTATGTAGGTATGCATCCAATTACCGGACTACATGTTGTGCAAAAGCGTATCAATTTCATCTGAATTTGAAAGACTGTTGGCTCACCGTGTATACATACTCGGCGATACATCGTATGGCAGGTGAACACTTAAGCATTTCACAGTAAAACTATTACTGTTTACTCTAATAGTCCGATGCGACTAAACGCTTTTTTATTACATACATTTCAGCTGTTGTGTTGATGAAACAGCCGCCCAACACATAGCTGCTGATTGTATCATTCATTTTGGACGGTCTTGTCTGACACCAAATAGGCAGCTTCCTGTCTATTACATTCTTCCTAAACAGCCGTTAGACGATGTCCAGTGTGCCAATTCGATAATCAAAACCTTTGAAACTGATGAGGAACTGGTTTTGGTATTGTACGATGTGGCTTATCATCATGTACGAGGTAAATTCTTAAAAACAATATTATATTTTACAATTTGTTTTATATTCAATAATAATGCTGTTTTTTTATTCCAGATCATTTGGCAAAATCATTAGCACCTGCGAAGTCAATAATATTGTCTGACTTGGATTTAAAGGAACAAAATACTACTAGTTGTACTGTATCCGATGGCCAAGAATATACATGCATATTTGGAAGACGATTTCCCGACTTAAATTACAAAAATATTGTTTACATAGTTCACGATAACTACATGAACAATGTTGATAGATTTATACTAGAGAGAAAAGGTACAAACATCAGACTTTACTATAATATAGATCATTTACAACTATTTATATGAATACATTTATTTCCCAGAATGTCAAGTATATATCTATCAAAATAGTTGTAATATATTAACACAACGAACCTTGTCGTCAGTGATAAAAAAAAAACACTATACAAAAGAAAAGATAAAAGATTCTACTCATATTGGAATACTCATATGTAGTTTGAGCATCAGAGATTTACTCGAGCGTATTAATAGAGTTAAATGTTTGTGCAAAAAGACAAACAAAAAATGTTACATTTTTTCTGTTGGACGTCCTAATGTTGCCAAATTAGCTAATTTTCCAGAAGTAATATATTTTATACTAATGAATAATTATCGAGTTTGCAATAATGACTGTTTATTCATATATTTATTTAGATTGAAATCTTTGTGAATATTACATGTGCAGAGGGTGTCATAGAAAATCAAAAAGAATACATGCAACCAATTGTTAATATTGATGATATTGAATTGGCTTTGGGGACTGATTACTCAAGTTGTATTTATAAAAGATTTTTGTACTTGTATAGTTATTTGTTTATAATAATTTAATTTGATTTTAGATTTACCCGATGTGTCTTTAGTAACCAACAAATTAAGAAACATAACAATGCCTAATGAGGAAATCGAGTTATCTTCAGCATTAAATGTCAGAACAGATATGTCATTATCAAAGGTTACTCAAAATAGAACATGGACAGGGCTCAATCCACACGACACACGACCTCCAGTTATAATAGCTACTGAAGGAAGGAAAGGTACACCGAGCTCTGGATATATAACATCTGATTCAGATCACCGTAGCTAAAGATAACAGTTTATGAATGTGTTTTCCAAAATATAAACATTTCTATTTTGGTTAATGAATTCGATAAAATATTAATGTTCAAATTTTTGGTGTAAGATTTGTTATTCAAGTAATAATTGTTGTATGAAAGTAATATTAATTTCTTACTTTCAAATTAAACATTTTGATGTATTTTTTAATCATTTTACAAATGATATATTAAATATCATGTAAAATTACTGCCATTTTATATAGTTGATTTTAAGTAATTATAACGTACTGAAGTCTAAGTATCTTCTAGTCATTAAAAAGAATAACACAATTCTGTACTTAAATGGCATTTTTAATTGTAGATACAATAAAAAATTATTACTATTTTCTTTAGTTTTTATTAAAATTTATTTTACAATTAAGAACTGAAAGTAGGTAAATGAATACAATTTTAATGTCAAGGTTTGATTTCTTCAAAACATTAAAACTTTATGTTTTATAAAATTTAAAAAATAAATTTATTATTAATACTTATTAAATAAGTTTTTATTTAATAATTAGTACATTTTAACAGATTAATCATAATGTTATACATTTTATTTTATTTAACAAAGAGCCATGTTGCATATGAAGCAGCATACAGTCATTTGTTTTACACATAATATTGTAATTAACCAAAATTGAAGTATTTTTCTTTTGGAAACACCAGTTCTAAAAAAATATTTTCATGGGCTTATTCTCATTATTTGGTGACCGTGTATTGGTAATGCTATACTTTTAGCAAAATTGGTTCAATTTACCGAATTAAAAAAAATAGTTATTAAATAATATGTATCATAAACTACCCTTATAATAAAATAGAATATGCTTTTTTCAAAATTGTTTGTGTTTAATCAGGTCCGGATTGACAAAGGTGCAAAATGAGCTATTGCTCCAGGCGGCATCTTTCACATATCCATATGGTGTTATATATGAAATATATGTTGTTTTAATAACTGCTTGATACGGGGTACCAAATATATATTACTTCAGGGCGGCTCTTATCTTATATCTGGGTCTGTGTTAAATAATGTATTATTGAGTTCAAATTAAACACATGCATTTATAAAATATACAAACTCAATATTACAATCACAAGGTATTCTCAAATCTTACTATAGTATTACTATATTACTCAAATTCCCTGGTTTTATTAAGGTTTCTAACACTATTTCATCTATTCTAGGATCATAGATAATTGAACTTGGTCAACCCTTAATTTTTACAGCCCTCTAGAAGACTAGCCTACCAAAAGAAATGAAAATTTAAAAATATTCTACCAAGTGCAAAACCATATATGTATATTTTATGTACATATTAACTTGTTGAGTTTAATAAAATTTACTTATTAACTAGTTAACCCTCACCTTTGCACATTAATTATAATAATATTTATAAAAGTGATAAAATTAATGTGCTTTTAGTGTAGATTGAATCATATCAACATTTGATTTATAGTCAAAACACTTGTGATCGACGAATAAAATGCAGTCGACAGAGAAAAATCTGAAACTAAAATTTTAGGAAACATAGGTAGTAGCATACTAGAAAAAAAAAGGTTATATGTATAGGTATGTATAATCAATGGTAGTAGGTACTAGGTACCTACCAAACCCACTTACTTAATTAAATAGGATTATTCCCTGTACTTCCTAGTGTTCCTACTACCTGCCTTAATACCAAATTACATAGATTCTTATTATTTTATACGTCATAACTCATAATTAATAGAGTATTTAAAAATTAAAACACACGCATGAATTGCAACCCACAAAATGTAAAAACAAAACTGAAGTATACACTATAGTACAATACTGTTCATTGGCTCGTCGGTACCCCAGTGATCGGCACTCAGGGGTTAATGTGGGAAAAATGTCCAGAGGGGACTAATGTCTCCATAAGTTTTAAGCGTTCCATATCTAATTTTATGTATAATGTCTAATGTATAAAATCCTAATTTGTCAAAGGGGACGCTTTTTAACCGCCGTCAGAGGTAGGGGTACTGAGTCCCGCCAAACACGTATTTAACACCCTGACGCAAATGCAACAAAATGTTTCTTTTGGTAGATCGTTTGCCTCCCATACTTAAAAATATCAATTATTTCCAGTAAAAATCAATTGTACAAGTACGGTGGTGTACATAGGTAATTAAATAGGAAAAGCAAATTCGATAGAGAAGTTATTAATTCAACTTCAACAAACAATAACATTACCTATATATATTAATCAATACAAACATAAAAATTAGAAATAATTTAACATAAATCAATGTTCAATTATACGAACACTAATTTCTAACAAGCTCGAATAATTATTGCATTTTATTAATCTCTGTACTCTTAAATTCAGCTAGAATCTTATAATATTTAGATTTTGAAAGGTGCGGTGAATGATGGTGAATTGTAGGCAATATCATAGGTTGCAGACTGACCGTCTTCGCTCAGAATCGTTTTTCTTATAGGTACAATGATATTATATCATTGAATACAAATTTAACACCATCCATTACAGTGACCCACTTACCTACGGTACAGCAGAGCGACACCCACTTGCCCACCTTTTTTTATATTAATCTTACATTTTAACACCAAAGAAGGTATAATACTATAGTACTTATCGTTTTATCGTTAATTAGTTAGATACAACTTTGAACATATTACATAATATTATAATATAGGTTAAGTTAGTATTAAGACGGTTAAGTTATTAGTTTATTACCTATATAATCAAGATTCAAGATCAACCTAACGCTCAACACATTTTTATACAGGTAGTTGTTATGTCAGAAGTCTGAGTACCTGTAAATATTATACTATTATAGTAGGTACCTACTTACTGATGAGTAAATTAATCAATATAAAATGAATATTTTAACTCAACTCAATATTTTACCGTGATACCTATAATAATAATTACTAATCGAATATGACTATAGGTGTAAATCTATTGTAGGTATACGGTATATACGCTTGCACATTACATTTTCAAGTCTTAAACTTAATTAATATTTTACAATTTATTCAAATAAATGGAAAATAATACATTAATAAGAAATGGCCGTTATATTCGTCGAATATGGATCATTTCATTCGTGTATTAAATATTTAAATTTACAATTTTTCAATAGAAGCTTTATAATACTTATACTGTACGTACGACATATCTATACTAATACTGTACCTACTACCTACACTGTACCTACTATAGTTTTATAGTTTTATACTCCGCAGTAGGTTTATAGGTACGTTATACGTAGATAGGTATAGGTAGGTACATAAAAATAAAAGTACAGACCACAGTTATTTCGATTTTGGATTATATAATTAGGTACCTACTTAATATACTATCTAGTCTAGTAGTCTCAACTTAACATAATATGTTGTTAAACACTCTGCATGTAGTGAAAATAGCAGTGTTTTAATACAACTGCATGTCTGTCTGCACTCTGCATAATATGCAGATTGTAGATAATAGAGGGGGAGGTATGTAAGCAATACATTCTACAAGGCAATGTGGCACATAACAAGTAAGAAAATAATAACATTATGATTGTATTGAACATAATATAATTATTATAACAATAATTAGTTATTATTTACAGTAAATTTAAAACAATACAACATTTTAAATAACCATATTGTCTACATATCTACCAAACCCATTATTATGGACTTATATTATCCTTATAATACAGTATAGGTATCTAAACGAAACTAAATAACTCAAAAACAACTCTTTTGAATTTCGATTTTGATACGTCAAAATGTTCAGTAAAATTAGCCGTTAAATAACTAACATTAAATAGAGGGGTTGTCATTTGAAAAACAGAAGTTACCTAGTAGGTATATTCTCAAAACACTCATTAAGTAGTATGAAATATCTCAAGAATCAAAAATATGGTCATCATTCCAAAAATCAAATTTTGAATACCTAGGTAACTGGAATATTGAATTACCTACGAAGAAAAAGGGGGCGAGTGAGCGTGCTCGGAGAATCACCCTGTACATTAGCCATTATGTATGTAGGTACTATATAGGTAGGTACACCTTTGTAGTATTGCCGACATTGCCGTGTCACGTGAAATTTAATTTGTTTCATAAATGAATAATTAAAATAATTATGTTTATCCGCTGACCGCTGTAGGTATCTACATCACTAGTAAATTGAAAACATACTCATTGACCGGTCCATTGTTCAGTCGATGTTATATCAAGTAACCTAGTTCATAATATTATTATGTCTAAAGATAGAATAGTAATAAATTGTTAATCATAAAAAATGATAATATTATATAGTAAAGTATAAAAGATTAATTTACTCACATTAATATATAATATTACTACCTATATACGTTAAATACGTATATGTTAAAATCCCGATAAAATTAATTATTTTAATATTCAATTACGATTATTTATGTAATAAATACAATATTAGTATGGTATAATAAAATTCGTATATTCAATATTCATATTAAATAGTGCATGTTTATTAGTACATTTTACTAGCAATTTTTATTTTTTAAAAATTCTTATTTTGCTGGGTTGGACAGAGTGGAGGTTATGGGATTCATGCAACCCTTCCTTCATTCGTTGAAAAACATTTTTATACAATCGTCAGTGCGTATGTACTCAGCACAGTTTCATATTAAGGATTACGAATTAATAAGAAAACAATTTAAGTCATTAAAAATAAATGAAATATCAAATATAGGCCCTGCGATGATGAAGATTAATAGCGGATTAACGTCGCACAAAGTATGAAAAATATCTTATCAAACAAGGAAGTGACCTGGATCACCGTCTACGTAGGTGTTTATACTTTAAAATAATAATTCTCAATAACTATTGATTGTAGGTTCATTTTTATATATTTTTTATTTATTTCTCAGCAACGATATTACCATTGGAAATATACATTAAACGAAATAATTGTAACTATAATAAGTTATCAAATGTGAAGTTCATAAGTTTCATAAGTTCATAAGATAT